CCTCGGCCTCCTCACCTCGGCAAGGCGTGGGGCTGCCGTGACTGGTCCTGCCCACGGCGCCCTGGGCCTGCGTTGGCCGCCTGCCCCTTTGTCGGATGGCCAGCCCCCCGTGCTTGACAGACCTGGCGCCTGCTTTCTCGGGTCCTCTCTCGGTCCCGCCTTGTCTGGCCGTGGCCTGTCATGGCCCGGTGGCCCACGGCTTCCCTCTTCGACTCCAGTGTGCACAGGGGTCACCCGGGGACCTGGTCAAAATGCCGGCTCGGGTTCCGAGGTCTGGGGGCCCGTGACCGTTCCCTAACAGGCTCCCAGGAGGGCCCGATGCCGCTGGCGCTCAGAGCACACGTGCGTTTGACGTGAAGGCTTCTTTCACGAGTGCCTCACCCACGACACACGTCAGATGCCCTCCGCCACGTGGCGCGGCACTTGGCACACAGCCCTCACGTGTGGCTCTGGGTTCACCTCATGGATCCATCCACCTGGGGCCTGTGTCCTGGCTGTGGCCTCAAGTCCTGAAGGACAGTGAGGCCAGGTGCGGCCCTGGGCAAGTGGCCAGCCTGGCCTGGACAGGGGCTTGCGAGCAGGCTCAGGGTCCCTGGAAGGTCTCGGGCGCTCAGGCAGGAGCCACGTGGTCATCTCTGAGCCTCCCGGGCCACCCAGGCTGGGCACAGAGTGGGGTGGAGGGCGACAGGAGAGATGGCCCTGAGTGACCTGAGGTCAGGGAGGGAGTCGGTGGCCGACGGAGGAGAATTCGAAGGAGCTGGGCGTTTGCTGGCCTGGGGTCCGATGGGCTCTCCGACTCTCGCCACTTGTCTCGTTCAGTGACGATGTGACATGACCTGACACAGAGCTCCTGCGGGCGCCGGCATCACACCTTCCCTACGGCAACTCACTCCGTCCCCTCACGGCCTGGTTAAGTGGGTGCAGTTATTATTTCCATTTTACAGATGGGGGAGCTGAGGCCGGGGGATGAGGCCACTCATCCAGCGTCACGTAGGCCGCCAGCTGCCCGGCCTGGAGCCCTCCGGTCCGCCTGGCCCCCGGCGATCGCTGTGGCTCTCTCCGCAGGAGAACCCCTTCAAGGAGCGGATCGTGGAGGCTTTCTCTGAGGACGGCGACGGGAACCTCACCTTCAACGACTTCGTGGACATGTTCTCCGTGCTCTGCGAGTCGGCTCCCCGCGAGCTCAAGGCCAACTACGCCTTCAAGATCTACGGTAACGGGGACGCTGTGGGGGGCGGTACTCGGCCCATCGGGCCATCCGGTTCCCGCCGGCTCAGCCCTGGAGGACAGTGGGACACCTGCGTCCCCAGTACGAGAGTGTCAGCCCAGCTGGGTGGCCGGTCACAACCAGGACACTGGGGATTTTGCGGGGTCCTGGGAGCAGATGGAAGAGGAGGGCCCCCGGGACAGCGATGCCCGTGGGGGGCCACTGCAGGGCTGCAGGGGGGCCGAGCAGCTCTGTGCTCTTGAAGGGTCGCAGGCGTCCTGGGGTCACAAGGTGAGGCCTCAGCTAGGCACTGAGGCCCCCATAGGACACACTCTGGCCGAGGTGAGGCCACCTCACCTCACCCGGCCCTGGATCCGCCATTCCCCCTTTCCGGCCACCAGAGGGCGCCAGGCACCACAAAGTCCTGGTTCTACAGTGACCAGAGGCTTCACTCCCGCTGCGTCCAGTCCTGAGACAGTCCCCAGACAGGGACACTGAGGCCCAGGGAGGGGCGGGGACCCGTCCTTGACCAGAGGAGCCACAGACACACCTGTCCCCAGCACGTCGACCGCCAGGCACCAGGCCTCTCGGGTGTGTTCCAGAGGACTTTGGTTTAGACTCATCTGTGCACCCACGTGTGTTTGCAGCTCAGACACAGAACCTGCACTGTCTCCCCACCACAAACCGTGCCTGCTGCTCCATAAAACCCTGAATTCCACACATCACCCCTCTAGTCTGGACCCTGTGGCCTTGCTCCTGGGCAGGGCTGTTGTCTGCAGAGAAAAGGCCATGCGGAGCCGGGCGTAGGGGCCCGTGATGGGAGGACTGGGCGCCCTCGCGCGCCTGGCTGGGGTGGAGTGGGGGAGGACAGCTGGGGGCCTGAACCCGCACCTTCTCACGTAAAGTGGGCCCAGGATCCCGTGTCACCAGCCCTGCGGGCGTCCGGCCAGCCCATCTGCCAGCAGTCTCCCCCAGAGCATGCTGGGCACCCCGAGGACACCGATGAACCCTCCCCACGCTGCCCGGGCGTCCACAGTGCAGACGGGCGGGGGCCACCCGCCAGGAGCCTGGGCTCCGGGATGCGCCGCTGACCAGGGACATGACCCCTGCAGGTCACTCGCCCTCTCCAATGTCGTGTCACCTGTGCAGCAGGGACCCTAGTTGCACCTGCTGAATAGCCTTGTTTTGAGAATTAAATGAGCTGGGGCCTGCGACACTCACTTGAGCTGTCACGTCGGGGTTTGGCCAGTGGGTGGGGTGCTCAGGGCGGAGGCCCGTAGGTCTAGGAAGCTCCCCGCAACCAGGACGGGATGTCGAGCCAAAGCGGGAGGAGGAGCGAGGTCTGCTGGACGGGTCGATGGGAAGGACCCTCCTGCGTGACGGCCTGGTCCTTGGGTCGGGCGGGCAGCAGGAAGGTAAGGTCGCTGTGCCCAGCCTGTGTCGAGGGGCAGCGCCAAGCCATGCTGCCCGCTCTGTGCACAGAAGCCGGCCGTGGGGGCCGCCCACGGAGGGGCCCGTGTGTCCCCGACCGCGAGTCTGGCTGGGACCAGAGCAAATGGGAGAGCTGAGAAAATTGTCTTAGCATCACGCAGGCCTGGTCACCGTCCCCCAGGCAGCCCTCTGACCTCGATGCGGCCACTCGGCCTCTCTCGCCTCGGTTTCCTTAGCTCTCGAGGGAACACGGGGTCAGATTCCCAGGAGGCCTTGGATTTGGACGGCTGAACTGTCCCAGGAGCCGGTGTCCCCAGAGCGCGTGTGGGGAGGCTGCCGGGTGTACACGTGTGACCACTCGGAGGTGACACAGCCCTGGCCTGAGCGTCCCTGCCCCCCGCCCCGCAGACTTCAACACCGACAACTTCATCTGCAAGGAGGACTTGGAGCTGACGCTGGGCCGGCTCACCAAGTCGGAGCTGGACGAGGACGAGGTGGTGCTCGTGTGTGACAAGGTCATCGAGGAGGCCGACCTGGACGGTGACGGCAAGCTGGGCTTCGCCGACTTCGAGGACATGATCGCCAAGGCCCCTGACTTCCTCAGGTGCCGCCGGGGGCTGGCTTGGGAGGGAAGCTGAGCACGGGGGCCGCAGCTCACGTCCTGGCCTCCCGGGACCCCACGCAGGCCGGCCGTCACCGCCCACGAGAACAGAGGTGCCCGCAGGCCCTGTGCAGCCAGGGAAGTCCCCTGTCCCCTGCAGGCCGAGGGCAAAGACCTGGGGCCTCCGGTGATGTTGGGGTGGGACTTGGCACGGCCGGTCCACGAGCCTGCCTTCCCTCGGCGTGGGCCGACTTCGTCCTGCGCCCCCCAGACCTGTCGGGGCCGGGCAGGGCCAGGCAGGGCCAGGCTGGCTTTTCCCCGACAGGCCCTGTAGCCCCAGCCCAGGCCTCTCACGCTCTCCTGCTCTTTCTTTCCAGCACCTTCCACATCCGGATCTGAGGACCCTGCCGAGGTCGCAGGGGCCCCGAAGCCCACCATCCTGCTTTGCTGTCTGTCTAATCGTGACCTCCAGGCTCCCAGGACTGGCGCCGCGGCCTCCGGGTTTGCACCCACGAACGTTTCCTTGGCCCTATCAGCAAAAAATCCTGCAGCAGGGAAGGGGGTGAGGGGCGGGGCTTCCCCAGGCCCACAGCCCCGCCCTCTGTCCCCTGACCTCCCTGTCCCCTGGCCCTCTCCCCATCAGCAATGGCCCCGGGAGGGGAAGGAAGAACACCTAACGGGGGTGGGTCGTACGGACTTGTCACAGTGCTAGAGACACCCAGGCCGCCCAAGGCGACGTGGGGGAAAAACGAGAGAGACAACGGGGTTACCGAGCTACGCAGTCTTTCTCCACGCCTCGCCGTCCCTGTCCCCCCTTCCCCGCCACGTGCAACCCTCGCTGGTGTGTGCTGCCCACAGACTCGTGAACTCCTGGTAGTAAAAGCCTTTCCTGTCCCCGTGCCGTGTGTGTCTGCATTAGGACACGCTCCCCGGTCCCTGTCCCCCTGGGCCTGGACCCACCGCCCGCCGTCACCTCCGGGCCGGTGCCGCCTCCCCGCCTCGGGCCCTCACACCTTTCGGTGCCTGTTGTCAGGCGAGTTTTTTTCGGCACTAGTTCCCGTGAACGTTTGTGGGCGCCCGCCCTGTGTCAGGCCCAGGCTGGTCGCCGTACATAGTCCTGACAACCCCGGAGGCCTCTGGGCGGGGGGCTCCCCGCCCGTGGGGACTGAGCCAGCTCTGCCTGGGGCAGGGCGGGGAGCAGCAAGCTGTCCCCCTTAGGGAGGTGGGGACACGGGGAAGAGGGCCCGTGGGACAGAGGAAGGGGATCCAGGCCGAGCAGCCTGGCCTGATGGTGGCCGTAGGCCAGGCGTGTCCCCACATCCGGAGCTGGTGCTGGGCAGGGCCCTTGGGGCTCCGGAGGTGGGCTGCCTGCTGGGCCAGGGGCTCGGAGGGGAGGGCGTGAGTCGGCTCCTCTGCGGCCTTGATCTCCTTCCGCGGTGGGTGACAGGCCCTGGGGGATGGGACGCAGCCCGAGCAGCGGGCAGCCAGAAGGCCGCTCTCTGAGTCTGGCTCTGCCGCAGGCTGGGGGGTCTGACGGGCTGGGGGCCACCTTCCGGTGAGCTGGGCGTCCCTGGCTGGATGACCGGAATCCCGGGCTGTGGGCTGCTGGAAGCCAGGCCCTCAGGCTCGGTGCTTCTTGTCCACAAAGAAGAACCTCCGGGGCTTGTCAGGCTGCACGGAGGGACAAGACGCTGCAGCCAGGGCCCCTGGACAGGGCAGGGTGGCCGGGGCTGGGAGGTCCTTCGGCACGGGGGGGCGGGGGGACCGGTGGGCTTTCCACCAGGCCCCCTTCCCTCACTGGAGGGCCCTGGGGCCCCCTAATCCCCAGAGCTCTTTGCCTAGCCAGGTCCTGGGACGCAGGGGTGCCCTCGGTGTAGTGGGGTGGGGCTGTCCACGGCGCCGCCAGGGACCAGGCAGGACGGGGCTTCGCAGCCAGGGCAGACGCAGACACGAGATGTGGCTCCTGTGGTTCCTGGGACTGACTGCCCACAGTCCCAGGAGGCCGCCCCGTCCCGGGCGTGTGGGCGCAGCCCGGCCCCAGGGGCAGCTGCCAGAGCTTCCTGTGACGTCCCCTTAGCTGGGGGCAGGTTTCACTGTTCAGACCGGAGAGGTCCGCACGTGCCGAGGCCTGGGGCTGTCCCCGTGGGGCGCACCCTCCCTGCTCATCCGCCCCAGCTCTGGGCAGAGGTTTCGGGGCTCAGGAGGGGAAACGCTGAGCAACCTCCCCCCGCCCGCCGTTCTGCTCCCCACTTCCCCCCTCCTCCTTCCTTATCAGAAACCCTCAGTCTGACAGCTCTGTTCACTGGAGCCATCCTGGGCTGTGTCCTGAGCACAAGCAGCTGCCCAGCAGCATCCTCCGGGCAGCTGCCCCTGGACACAGCTTGAGGACCAGCCACTCTACAGATGAGGGACTGGAGGTCCCGGGCAGTGTTGCTACCTAAGAATGCAGAATGCCCAGGTAACTTTGAGTTTTCGAATAATTGAAAAACGATGGCAGTACTTGGGACATACTTATGCTTGAAAAAAAATTACCGGTTGTTTATCTGGAATTCAAGTTAACTGGGCTCCTGGGTTTCATCTTGCTAAATCTGCCATACTTCAATTGCCAGGGAAACTGTCTTGCCCAAAGCCACATGGCCCGGGAGTGGCTGAGCCCTGACAGGTCAGACCCGGAGCCAAGACCCCCTGCAGCAGCCAAGAGGGAGGGACAGGGAGGGACAGGGAGTCAGGCTCTGCTGCAGAAAAAGACCTCGGAAGGGCCTGGAAGCCTCCATCTCACACCCACGTCTACGGCAGCCTCTCCCACCGCCTCGCCTCGAAGCACCTGTCAGGGCTGGGAAGTTCTGGGTGCCTTGGGGCAGGGGCGGTGACCAAGGCCATGTGTCCCTTCTACCGCCAGGTGTCCCCTCAGGGCTGGCAAGCACCCAGCCCCCCCGAACCCACCTTTTGCGTCCGCCCGGCGTCTCTGCTCTTGGCTGCTGGGATTTGTTCGTAAGCGTTCCTGGGCTCTGGGAGCTCGGGGGTCCCCTCGTAGCCACAGTCTGGGGATCTCGACAGCTCTCTGCATGTGAGACTGGCCCCAGGGTAGGGGGGCCGGGCAGAGCCGCCCCAGTGGACTGGGATCTGCTGGTAGGCGCCTTGGTCGGCCGCATCCCCGGCCTCCTCCGGGGCTGCTGTCTGGACGAGTTCGTAGGTGTCTGCACAACGGCCCTGGGAGCAGGGCTGGGCCCTGTGGCGCAGCTTCGGAGACCCCTGGCTCCAGGTAGCAGCCAAGGGTCCCAGAGCCTCAGAACTGGGGGGCAGGAGGAGGCCCCAGGAGGTGGGAGACACTGCAGGGCCCCGGCCTGGGTCCCCCGCAGCGAGGGCAGGCCCGCTCTGGCCCCCGTCGAGGGGGCTCCTCGGGGCCTCCTTGCCTGGGGAGCAGGCCCGGCTGCCCGCCGGCCCCTGCCCCTGCTCGCCGGACCCCTCCGCACCCCGCCCCAGGCGCATCTGATTCCGCTTCCTCAGGTCCGCGTAGACGACGTTGCTGGTGCCTCCGAAAGACTCGTCCAGAAGGGAGGCGCTCCTCTTGGGGAGGGGGGGCACCCCGATGGGGACCTGGGGGGAGAGGGACAGAGCCTCGTGGAGGTCGTCGGGTGAACCGAAGCTCCGCTGAGCCGAGACCCGCCTCTTGGCCTCGGTTTACCCGACCGTCCCATGCGGGGTGGCCACGGCCAGCGGCCGCGCGGGACTGAGCACGGCCTTGCGGTGGCATTCCGAGTCCAGGGTCACCAGCGGTCCCCCCGCCCGAGCCCATGCTGCCTCTGAGGCGGCCCTCAGAACGGCCCCCCCAAGCCGATCGTGCGTGTCCGTCCGGCAGAGACAGGGCGAGCGCGCGGGGCAGGACGCAGCGGCCCGTGGGGGGCCACACGCCACGGGGAGCCGGCGACCGCGCTCCGCCCCACGGTGTGACAAGGCCGCGGTGATGTCTGGAGTCTGCCTAGTTACGCGTCGCGGGGGAGCGCGCCGTCAGGCCTGAGCGCCGAGCGGAGGTGGGGAGGGGGCTGTGTCCGCGGCTCGGGTGTCCCTCTGAGGTGACAGCGACGCGGAGAACGAGGTGCTGTGAGCGCGAAGCACGGCTGGGAGGAGCGCGCGGGCGGCGGGAACGGCCAGGCGAGGCCCCGACGCAGAGACCGGACCCCGGGAGCCGCCGTGGAAGAGAGCGAGGCCTTGACTGACAGGCCCCCCGCTCTACAGTTTACGGAGGGATTTCCGGCGTTTCGCATCCGTTCTGTCATTGACGGCTCGCAGGAACCACAGGAACGGTAAACCGAGGCTCAGAGCGACAATGGGACTTACCTGAAGTCACCCAGCTAGAAAGGCCAAGCCAAGGTGTGACCACATCCAGCGGCCAGCGGCAGGCCGGGCACAGGCGAGCCACCTGGCCGCCCGGCTGGGCCGGTGCCGCTCTGGGCATGGCGCTCACCCGCTGCAGCCTGAGGCACGGCGTGGCACCCGCCACCCCGGTCTGGCGCCCAGGTCCCCTCACCTCCATGCTCTCCTCCCCCGACACGTTCCTGGGACGCCCATCCGGGTTCTTCCTCGTGGGCAGGAAGGACACCTGGGGCTTGGGCGGGGGGCAGGGGCCAGCGGCCCTGTCTGCGACCTCCGTGGCGGACGCCGTGGCCAGTGGCTTTTCCAGGCCTGGGCTGGGCTGGCGAAGGCCCAGCGTGATGGCATCGTACAGGTCATTGTCCTCTGGCTGCGGGCGGTAGGGGCACAGCAGGTGTGTGGTCACACACCCCCTGCCGGCGAGCCCGCCCGCCAAGCTGGCTGGCGAGGGACTGACACACGCCCACCAGGTCCCTGAGCTGGGGGGACACACGGCCTCCCCTTCGTCTCCCCTTCGTGAGTGACCCGGGTGGCAGTGGATGGGGAGGAAAAGGCACGTGGCCCCCGCCTGCCACCCCTGCCCCGGGGAAGAGGCGTGCCTACCCGGGGACAGGCAGCAGCCAGCGTCTCCCCAAAGGGCTCAAACTGCACATCCTGGTAATGCCGCACCAGCTCGGCCAGGCTGCCGTGGCTGCGGGTGTCCCCCGAGACGAGGTAGCGCCGGTTTGAGAGCTGGGTGATGACGAAGTGTCGGCAGCGGTCACCCCCCCTGCAACACAAGCGCTTGTGGCCTGAGGCTGCTGATGATAAATACAGAGTGAGGTCCCCCCCAACCGTGCCCTTGCCCGAGGCAGCCTCGCTGGCCCACCCTGATCCCCCGCACTGCTGGCAGGTGGAGTCCAGCTCCCGTGCCCACCCACGCCGGGCACCCCAGGAGCCGCTGGCACCTTGGCCTCGCGCCTCTGCACCCGTGGCCATGCAGTCCCCGCTACCGGGGATGCTCCCCAGACCCCAGCCGCACCTCCCCTCTGCCTAGTTCGCTGCTGCTCTTCCTCGATGCTGGGCTCGGAGCGTCCCTCCGGGAAGCTGGCCCCAGCCTCTCATGGCAACCCCCTCTGACAACTGGGTCTCCATCCCAGCAAGTGGCCAGCACCCCTCAGGAAATGTCTGGCAGGCACGGGGTGCATGACAGAGGGAGCCAGGGCCCTGCGAGAGCCGGGCGTCTAGGCTGGTGGGGCCTCCAGGCTTATCTGCAGGGCCGGTTCCAAGAGCCCGAGCCGGCCAGGCCCCCGCAGAGGGCTCCCTCTCTTACCTGTAGGACAGGATGTAGCCGGTGGCCCGGTCACTGAGGCGGATGAGGAAGGAGCCAAGAGCTTTGTCCCCGAGCAGCTGCTCCGTCTGCCTGGGCAGAGGACGTGCCATTAGCTGGCGCCTTGTGTGGTTACGGCAGCAGGAGTAGCCTTACCTGGACCAGCCTCGGGGTCCCTGCTGGCCATGTCCTTGGGTGCCAGACCCCCAGCCTCTACAGGGGCCTCCCGCAGACCTTAGGTGGGTCTGTGGTCTGCCTGGGCTCAGTTGAGCAGCACAAGACTCAATCTGGGGCTGGGCTGGCGTCCTGAGGCTACAGGTACCCGCCCCCTCCCCACCCACGCAGCCTCACCAGCAGGCACAGTAGCCACTGACCCCGGCCACCCCATCTCCGCCTGAGTCACTCTGCAGCCGTGGTAGGTCCATACAGCCGCGGCGTTTAGGTTTGCGGGGCCCTTGCTCAGGACCACCGTGCAAGGTGGCGTAGGGTGTGCACTGAATGAGTGTCCCCGTCTGCAGCCTGATCATAATAGCGCCTCGGAGGTTCCCACCCCCCTGCATGTGCCCTCCAGCCCTGGGCTGCTGTGGATATTTCTAAATGGTGCCAAGTATTTTGGAGGCATGCTGGGCAATTCCAGCTGTCTGCTTTGGCAGCACCGTCACCTGGTTACTCACCAAATACTAGATGCCCCCTGTGTGCAAGGCCAGCCATAAAATCTGCAGAGCCCCGCACTAAATGAAAACGTGGAGCCCCTCGCTCGAACAGCAAGACTCAGGAGAGTGACGGCATGCCTCGAGACCAAGAACAGGCTCTTCAGAGCCGCGGGCCCCGGGCAACTGCGCGAGTCGGAGCTGTGACGCCGGCTCCGTGCCAGGCACTGTGCCAGGAGGCCCGAATGACCAGCTGGATTTGTCTTTCATCCAGTGCGTGGGCAGCTGGGAGATCCAGCCCAATCGGAAAGCCGACCCCCACATCTTGGCCTTTATTTCTGGTGTCACTGGACACCCAGGTTTTCCGGGGAGAGTCCTTGCTGAAAACAGTTCCAGCCTGTCACGAATGGTGCTGGGTCTGGATGATAAGCGGCACTGTCCCCTAGTGGTTTGTCACGTTGTTCACAGCTGGTCTGAAAGCATCCTGCTCCCACGGGCCCTCTGAGTCCTGGCCTATGCACGGAGGGGCCGGCCTGTTCCCCCCACCTCCTCCAGGGGTCCCTGCCTAGCCCAGGGAGAGGGCAGGAACTGGTCTTGTCCCAGAGCCCCCAAACCGTGTTCTTGGCGCCTCGGGGCTGTGGGCCATGCTGAGCATGTGGACAGGGCCAGCCTTACTTGCGGGTGATGAATCCGTGGAACCAGGGGGGCAGGGCTCCGTCCTGCAGAATGAGGGGGGCCTGCGTCTCCATGAACCACCTCAGGGCCAGCTCCTGCAGCTTGGCCAGGGCCTGGCCGTCCGCCGCCCCCTCGAGCCCCCTCCCCAGGCTGAGCTGCCTCGGGCTGCCCTCCATCTGGCCGGCTCTGGAGGGGAAGCAGAGCCCAGGCCCCTCGCCCCTATATCTGTGTGGCCCTGCTCATTTGCCTGAGCCCACGCCCGCCCCGACTGCTGGCAGCACACAGAAGCCCCATTGTCGCCTCCGGGCCGGTGGCTGGTTCACTACTATCACGCTTTTGGGGTGGCACCTTGGCTGACTGGAGACACTGCGGGCAGGGTCACCTTGCTATGTCACCTCTAGCAAATGACCTCCAACCAGCAGATGAGCTGCCCCCTGGACTGGCCTTTCTCCCCAAGCTGCTGTGCTTTTCACGGCTAAGACCAGCCTTGGCGAAGCCCACAGTGATGCCGCCGTCAGCAAGGCGAGGGACCCGGATTCCACGTGCGCTCCCTCCCCGAGGCCACTTACAATCTGGCGACGTTCTGTGCCGATTAACCCCTCCTTCCCTTCGGGACGTATGTCCTAGTCTCTAGGTCACTGCGAGGACAAATGCGATAGCATCGTGGTTAAGATGAGGGGAGGTCTATGTGAATCCAAGAGGGCGATACCCGTCAGGCGGTGGTCGCCTGGGCAGGGAATGGTGACCGGGGCTGCCGGCGTCTAGTTTTTGGTCTGGACGGCGGGCTACATGAGCGCGTTTGCTTCGTGAGAGCTCGCGGAGCTCTGCACTCATGGGATGTGGCTACAGCCATATTTCCTTGGTTCCAATTCCGGCTGACGAGCTACGTCGCCTCTAGCAAATGACGACAACTTTTCTGGGCTTCGGTGTCTTCATCTCTGAAGCAGGGACAATCAAAACGGCTGTCGTTAGGAAGGTGTTAAGTCCTTAGGCAGTGTCTGAAATTACACAAGCGGTCAGGCTCAGCCGTCGCCTTGGCGATGATGGCACCGAGGGTGCTGGCCTAACAACCGTTTCTGTTATGACTGCTGCTCCGACTTCATCGTGGCCACCTCCAATCGAGATAAAAACGCTGAGGGCGGCTGTGGGGTACATGTGATTTAGAGGAACGGGAAGGGCCTGAGGCCAGCCCGTGACCTCAAGCTGGTCAGCTCCTTCCCCATCTGGGGTGCCCACGGGCCCCACGTGGGGAGGGAGTGAAGTACGGCAGTCCCCGCTCTCTGCTCAGGGTCATGCGCGTGGCAAGTGTTTCTGGGGGGTCAGCCACTGGGAACCTCACTTTTATAAACAATTTCCAGCCTTGGAAGTGGGGTGTCCACTCCAGCCAGGGGACATGGAAGAGATCCACCGTGCTCGTAATTGCTAGTTGGTCTTCCCACCACAGATATAAGCCAGGGATATGCTGAGGTCGGAATAGAAAGCCCAGCCTGAAGCTGACAAGGACTAGAATTTTCTATGTGGGGGCGGATGGGCGGGCAGCGGATTGCATCTCTGTCTCCCCTGACCTCTGATACTCAGCATGTCCTGTGGCTCTGTCATTAACAGAAATCACACAGATTTCCAAGTCATGTTACAGTGGTTGCAGACATCTTGAGACATCATTTTTCTCAGCCTCCCCTCAAAATTACAGTAATTAGACCCAGTGCTGGATCTTGTTATTTAACTTGCAAATAAAGAAGTTTGGAGTAACTTCAGAAACATTTTATTAAGTCCGTTTCAACATAATTGATTTCCACTGCGATTCCAGGCATTTTATCTTGTGTATTTAAAAACTCTATTCTGAGAAGTGCCTGGCGTCACCAGGCACCCAAGCGGTTCCCAGCACGAGGAGGCTGAGGAAGCCGAGGTCTCCCCCGGAGTCCGGCTGCTGCCAGCGTAACGTCCTGGAAGTATTCAAATACAAAGAAATGTGTTTCTGTAATTTTCCATGAGGCGTCCTCTCGAGACCTGCTCGCCTGGATAATTTTAGGAGCGGAACCTGGGCGTTTGCATAAGAAAACAAAGGCTCTGTGTAGGAGAGGGCCAGGACCTAGGACAGCTCCTGCCAGGGGCGAAGGTCTAGGTCAGGCGAACAAAGGGGGTGTGTGTGTATGCATATCCAAGGAAATATATATGTTCTTTTCTTCCTCTCTTTCTTATGTTAAGGTGGCACACTACGCAGTGCTCTGTACCTTGCTTGGTAAAACACACTGAGCTATTTTGTAGCCTCTTCCATAAGAGTATAGACTGGGGGTGCCAGTCTATACCCTTTCCTTTACGGCTGCATAATCTTCCGCCGGATGGCCGCGCTATGATTTTTGTAACCGGTCCCCTGTCGATGATCATTTGGGCTGTTTCCAGGGTATTTTCATTTCCAGCACTGGGTCACCTCGTGCAGATTTGACAAAGCATGAGAGTGAGTACACCCACAGGACACATTCCCGAAGCGGGACTGCACCGTTACAAGGATATTTGCATTGGGAATTTTGATAGAAAATGTCATTAAATATTAAGTGAATGACTAGATGAATGGATGATATTTTCCTGCCGAGTCGTTCTGCAAGAAAAAGTGGGGCAGGGGTCCGATGTGGGTCCAGAAAGTCACCGACGCTGCTGTGACTCTTTCGGCCGCTCCATGTCACTGAGCGAGCTAGTCCTGTCATCTGTGGAGCTGCTGGGGCGGGAGGTGGCACCCAGAGACACCCCTTCCAGCCACCCTCCCCACGAAACGCAGCCTGTTCTGTCTTATTCGCAGGTAGTGGGGATTCGACGAGGACCTATAGAAATATCTGAGACCTGAAAACAAAACAAGAAATAAAAACGCACGCCAGCATTGGCTCCAAAATCTAAAATAAGCAAAGCGCAAACTCACAACGAACGAACGTATCGGTAAATGTCTACACAACAACACTGCGTCAGCTTCGTCTGGTGTTTATAAAAGTTCCATCCTGTCTGAACACGGTTCGGAGGTCACATGGTCTTATCTCACGAGGATCACCCAGTGTACAGGGAAACTGCCCTGCCAACCTCCCACCGTCAGCAGCCCGGAGGGTGCCCAGGCCCCTACCTGTCCCGGCCCTGGCCTGCCGGCCAGCACCTCAGATGCCCTCCTCCTACGAAAGAGAAGCACGAGGCGTGTAGATTTGCCTGCCAGTTTGGTAGGGAAATGAGGCCTCCTGGAAGCTGGCTCCCCCGTGCCGGGGCTGAGAGCTGCCTGCAGCGGGAGCCGACCAGGTGTAATGCTTTTCTGAGTCTCAGCATCACGGCAGCAGGTGGAGGCAAAGAGCCAGGGCTGGGCTGTTTGTTGAATGAATTAGCTACCAGACTGAGGTCTTCCACGCTTCAGGTGCTGTGCTGGGCGCTTTGCACTTACTACCTCATTTAAGCCTCACGGCAGCTCTAGGAGGTAATTGCTATTATTATGCTCGTTCTACGGATGGGGAACCTGAGGCACAGGGCGGCTGGGTGATCCACCCAATGTCGCAAAGCCCCTCCCTGATTTTGGAACTCTCTCTTGGCCTCCAGGGCCCAGTCCATTCCTCCTGCCCCATCAGGGCAGGAAGTGTGGAAAGCAAGTTCACTGCCCAAAATTCCCCCTTTCCGTAAACAGCAGCTACTTCCTCTTGGGTCGGCCACTTCCTCCTGGTCACTGGGTTCCAGAGAGGCTTGAGGGGGCAGGGACTCACATGGGCACACAGGGCAGGCCCCCTGCACCAAGCGAGCCTGCACTGGACACAAGGGAGGGACACGGGGTCCGTGTAAAGCTGATCCCTGATCACAGCACGGAGACATTTCACCTAAGAGACTTTGGGAACTGCAAAATGTCAGCAAGTCATCTCAGAAGGGTTCCAAGGAATTTAGAGCCACCAGAGGCAGCCCCCAAATTTCCATGTAGGAGAGCCTTGATAGGGTGATCTGATTTAAAAAGGGCGGGAACTAAAGTTCCACTTGTTTAGAATTTTATCTAACTATAAAAATTGAAGACGGTGGGAGGGGCTAAGGAGAGGAGATAAAGCCCCATCCTGGACCATCCCTCCAGCTCATGGTCCCAGGAAAGAGGGGCGAGACAGTGCAGGGTTTGTTTACGAAGCCATCAGCACCCCAGAGTGGCCTTGAGAGAGCTGGCAGGGCCAGGGAGCGCGTGTTCGTTGAAGTCGGTGCAGGACTGAGGTGTGAAGAGGCGGGCCGGGGGCCTGGCTTTCATCCCCGCCCTCTGCAGACACTGACCGCGCGCCCGCTCGGCGCGGGGCAGCGGGCTCTCTCTCTCGTGCAGTGCGGGCCAGAGGCTTGGCACACCGTCTCCTGCCGAGCTGGGACCCAGGGCGTTCGGGGGACACTCGGGTGGGTTTCGAGGCCTGCGCACTCCCGGATAACGACGCACGACGGTGCGCACACAAAGCGGCGG